AGTTTTTCTTTTTTTTTTTTTAATTTGACATGGTCTTGCTCTTTTGCCCTGACTGGAGTGCAGTGGCCAGTGGGACAATCTTGGCTCACTGCAATCTCCACCTCCCAGGTTCAAGTGATCCTCCTACCTCAGCCTCCCGAGTAGCTGGGACTACAAGTGTGGACCACTATGCCTGGCTAGTTTTTGTATTTTTTGTAGAGTTGAGGTTTCACCATGTTGCCCAGGCTGGTCTTGAACAACTCAGCTCAAGAGATCCACCCACCTCAGCCTCCCAAAGTGCTGAGATTACAGGTGTAAGCCTGTAAAAACCATGCCCAGCCTAGGCCCACCTTTTTCTCATGATGGTTTGATGAGGGTCATGGCAATGGAGTGGAAGTGTGGATGGTCACAGGAGAACAGACAGCTGATTTTCCTCCCTAGTCCCCTTCCTTATCAGCTAGGAAAAGAGCAGTCTGAGCTGCTTGGAGGCTCCCCTGCCAGGCAGGCAGCAGCTGGGCTGGGCTGCTAATTGGGGCCAAAACCCCAAGGAGGAGTTCCCTGGGACACCAGAACTGGCTGGAGGGATGGGATTTGGCAACTGTTTTCTGGCCAGTTAGGATAACTGTTTCCTTTCAGGATCTGAGGCAGTTGTTCAAGGTGACTTCATGTGGCTCCTGAGCAGGTGTGGTTTAGGTTGGCCCTGTTCCTGGGACCCCTGCTCTGTGTCCATGAGGTAGGCCAATGACTCGACATCTTGTCCCTTGGCCAAAGTGACAAGAGACACCTTGGCCGAAGAGAGGAGCGGGAGAGCTGTTGTCCTCGTGAGTTGTCATGCCGTGTCCAGGGATCTGCAAAGTTCCATGGGAGTGGGTAGCTGGTTCTGGGGTGGCAGGACCGTCCTCCTGCTGGATCCAGGGTAATGACTAAGAGTTCTCTGACCTTGGGCTGCAGCCAGGTGGCACAGATGCAGCTGTGAGTCAGGAGGCTATATATATATATATATATATATATATATGAGACAGAGTCTCACTGCCACCTCGGCTCACTACAACCTCTGCCTCCTGGGTTCAAGCAGTTCTCCTGCCTCAGCCTCCCAAGTAGCTGGGATTACAGGTGCATGCCACCATGCCTAATTTTTGTATTTTTAGCAGAGATGAGGTTTCACCATGTTGGCCAGGCTGCTCTCGAACTCCTGATCTCAGGTGATCTGCCCACTTCAGCCTCCCCAAGTGCTGGGATTACAGGCGTGAGCCACCATGCCAGTCAGGAGCCTAGATTCCTAGGCAGTATCTTGCCATTCAGTGCTCCCTGAACATCCACTATATCAGCAAATAGCCACGGAGCAGCTACAACAGGCACCTGTGATGCCCTTGGAATAAGAAAGACACCTCCCTTGCCTCAGAGGTTTGGGAAGATCAAATGAAACAGAGGATAGGAAAGGGAAATGTAAACTAGAAGGTGCTTTGCAAGAATCGGTATCCTGGGAGGTAAAAGAGGAGGGCTGGAGGGCACTGCTCCTCTCCTTGCTCCACTCTGGGCTGATGCAGAGGCCTCAGAATTTCCAGGTGCAGACAGTCTGGGGCTCCTTCCCAAGCAATTTCTCAGCAGCAATGCTCAGTTCAGGCAGCAGAGGGCAGCAATGGGCCTGCCACCCTGGAAAGCAGCCTTTGAAAGCTGCTGCTGGTGGTTGTAGAGGACCGGGAAGGGGGCGAGGGAGGCAAGCATAGGGGGCCGAGGGTGGCGGAGCACATGGTGCCCAGGGTCAGCCTTCCTTTCGGGATGTGTGCAGGTGGCTCTTCCTGCCCCAGTTCCTTGGAAGCCTGGCTGACAAGTGTTCAGTCTTCTGGGCCACGCAGCCTGATTGCTACTCATCAATTTGATAGGGGTCTGGCAACCAGGGGTTTCTCCTTCCTCCTCCTCTGTCCTCAGGCGTCTAGGCGGTATATGATTCTTATGGCCCTTGCAGGGGGTGGGGGTGCTTCTCCCACTGGGAACCCATGGCCATTTATTTTTCTGTGTGACGAAAATTTTGTTGGTGCTCATCTGAGAGGATTTAAGCCATCTGTTGCCCCTGGACAGCCCTGGTCCCCAGCCTGGCCTACTCTCCGTCGATCTTAATCCCAGAGCTGCCTTTCTTCCAGGATGGCAGGAGAATGTAATTAAAGTACGCCCCAGCATAAGGTTTCCATACTAGCAAGGTGGGTGAGACCCTGAGGGCCCAGGAAACCCAGGAGGCCCCCCTCCTGACTTACCAACCTGTACCCATCACATCCTCAAAACACAGCTTCTGGAGAAGAGTGGCTGCTAGGGGGCAGGAGGGATTGGGGAGAAAAGAGAGAGCGGGGGCTGTGAACCTGCAGCACCAAGTCTGCAGGGGGCTTTTCCCTGAGTCCTGGAGGCGGCGACAGCAGCTGGCTGGGCTCAGCCTGTTCAGCAGTTGCAGTAAGAAAGTGGGTGAAGGTGACAGCAAGTGCTTGGCTCTTCAGGTAGATGCTACGTGACTCCTGGCACGTTGAGTCTGTGTGTTTCCCGGGCGACCAGCTGAGCCAGGGACGAGGAGAGGACAGGAGTGTGACAGGAATGCGAGGGAGGGAGGCAGTGCTGTTTCTGACTGGACCCACATGCCGCTACCGTATTCCACCAGCACCCTCCCGCCTGCGCAGCATTGCCCCCTGCCAGGTGGGGGCACTGTATTTCCCTAGCTGCCCTGCCAGTTTCTCCTTGCTCTCTGGGTAGGAGTCCCTGCTGATAGGCCTAGGCCACTCTGTCCAAGAACACTGCCCCCCGCCCCCCACATTATATACTGGTGGCAAGAGGTGGCCAAAGCCTAGGCAGGCAGGCTGGTGTGAGGGCAGGGCAGGACCAAGCCCTTGCCCAGGCATGCTAAGGTGCTGGCAGCAATGAACTGAGAAGGGGCTAGGTTAGAGGACTCCAGGATCCCATTTTCTCCAGGGTAGCACCTGGCCCAGGCAGGCTGCAAGCTGCCCTCCCTCGGTAGGCAGATACAGATGAGGCAGTCTGGTCTTTCTTAGTTCAAGGGGCTGAGGGACTGTGTCCTATGGAGTCTGAACCCTGATGATACTCCAGGCTGGTGGGGTGATCAAGGGAGGGAATGGGATCTTCCTGGCTCTGTGCTTCTTGTCCAAGGCTGAAGCAGTGGAGTAGGAACACTTTGTCCTGTTGAACCCCCCACCCTCATCAACCCTAAGCAATCTCTTTTCTGGAGATGCATGACCAGGAAAGTACCAGGCTAGGGACTATCAAACTCTGAGGGCAGGTCTGAGAGGCAGAGGACCCCAAGCACCCAGAGAAAACTTTTAAGAGTCAGAGGAAATACTCCTTCTCGGGGCAGTGTTCCAGCCGGAGCCCGGCTAACACAGGGACACTCTACTTTCTTCTTGATGTTGTCCAGCAGGTACTGTGTGGAGCTGACAAGTCCACACTGTGAATCTGACTTCAACCTTTGCATGGGTGATGGCACTTGGTGCTGGCCACTGCACAGTGCTAAAGTAAGCTTTGTGACTGGCTTCTCCCTGAGCAGGACCAGGGACAGCCAAACTATATACTCCCAGAAAACTCTGGTTTTGACCTGGGCAGGCGGCTGTACCCTGAGTAGGGGTGAGCTGCCATGAGGGTCAGGGGTTCCTGGCAATCAGGTTTCTTGGATGCAGGGTGGCCCCCAGTGGGTGGGGACTGAGTTGTGAGGCTGCAGGGTGTGGAGTGACTAGGGTGGACCATGGTTGGAGGTGGCCTGTGGGAAGCTGGGGCAGCAGGAGCCAAGCAGCCGGGCTGAGCTGGCAGCTGATGAAGGCCGAAGAGCAGCTCTCAGCGCATGGCTGGCTGGTCCAATACCAAAACTTTCAAAGCATTTGCCTTTCTGGCAGGGCCTGGAGCAGGGCTGTGGCTGGGCCGGGAGAGGCCTCAGTGCGCAGGGGAATAGAAGCCCCAGATCTGCATCCAGAGGCGATTTTCCCAGGCTCCTTCCTCCCACACTGTGGCTCCCTCCCTGGGTTCTGGAGCTGAATCAGGCCCTTCCAGCCAAGTCCTCATGGCTGCACGACTCAGCCCTGAGCTGGGCTGCTCCTGTGTGGGGAGGCAAAAACCAGGGCAGAACCTAGGACAAAGGCTCACTAGGGGCAGCCCAAGTCCCCTCCCACCAAGGATGGCTCCCAGTCTACCAGCTGCCAGAAAGGGCCACTGAGCTAGGAGGCCTGAATTGCCCAAACTTCTATTTGAGCCTTCCTTTCCTGGTCTGGTCTAATCCAACTCAGGAGAGGCTTCAGGAAATGGGGAAGACAGAGCAAAACGGCAAGTAGGGGCAAACCACACTAGAACTGGTGACTGTACTGGGTAGTGTGGGAGGAGTCGGTGTCTCTCCCTTGGCCCAGCCCAACTCCCCTCTGCCTGTGGATTCAGCCTCCTCCCCAACTCAACCTTTAGCTAGACCTGCTGACAGGAACAAAACAGACTGGTTTGAGTTTCACCTCTTTTCATTTCCTTTGCCCTCCCCCTGAAAGTTGTTTTAATGAGCAGTGAGATGGCTAAAAGGGCTGGGTGTGGTGGCTCACATCTGTAATTCCAGCACTTTGGGAGGCCAAGGTGGGAGGATCGCCTGAGCCCAGGAGTTTGAGACCAGCCTGGGCAATACAGTGAGGCCCCATCTCTACAAAAAACCAAAAAAGTTAGCTGGGTATGGTGGTGCGTGCCCATGGTCCCAGCTGCTCTGGAGGCTAAGGTGGGGGAGGATTGCTTGAGCCCAGGAGTCAAGGCTGAGGTTGAGTTGTGGTTGCACCACCGCACTCCAGCCTGGGCGACAGAGTGAGACCATGTCTCTTAAAACGAAAATAATAATGGCTAAAAGGCAATCAGGGAGTAAAGCACCTGGAGAATTAAATGGTCTTTCTCCAGTGGAACCTTAGCACCTGGGCTTGGCTGCCCAAGGAGCCAGGGGCCACAGCACGAAGGGCAGAGCTCCGGCTCCAGCAGCACCCAGGCCTCACCTCCTGCCTGTCTCCTCTCAGGGTCCTGGAGTATCCAGATGGAGAGGGGCAATGCCCTGGTGGTGCTGCGCAGCCTGCTCTGGCCAGGCCTCACCTTCTACCATGCTCCCCGCACCAAGCACTATGGCTACATCTACGTGGGCACTGGTGAGAAGAACATGGACTTGCCTTTCATGCTATAGAATGGAAGCCAGCCTGGATTTTTAAAAACAGTCTAAACATGATTTTCTTAAGCTTCAGTGAACTTGGCCCGCCTGTTCTGTCTTACCTTCTTATCTCCACCTCCATCTGGTTCCAGGTTCTGAAAGGCCCACTGAGCCAGGGAGCTCATCTCTACACCAAGTGGCAGAGGGTTGGAATGTGCTAATGAAAGAGATACTAGACAATGATGGGTGAAATGGCTGTGGGAAGTGACCACCAGGGCCCCTTTGAGGAAGGCAGTTTCTTGGATTCACACGAGAGCGGCAAGTGTGTCAGGTAGCCCACCTTGGCTCCTTGCAGCTCTCCCAGAGTAAGGAGCTCACAGCTGTCATGAAGAGGATGGGACCTGTTTGGCCCATGAATTCCTTTCAATTGACTCATTGGCCCCATCACAAGAGATCAGTGACTCAACACTCTGCACCGAACTTTCATGTGCCCAGAACCCCCTGCACTTCCCAAGCAGTGAGCACACACCCAGTGGGTAAGCCCACGAGCCCACAACTCAATGTTTATGACATTGTATTGGGAAAAACTCCTGTCCCCAGCACTGAGCATGGCCCAAGCCCCACAGCACCTGGCAAGGGACCCAACTGCCCTGCCTGCCTTTAGCTCCCAGCATTGCTACTGCGCAGGCCAAGGGTACTGAAGTTAGTCCCACTGTCCCCTGTCCATCCATGTCGAAGGGGCCAGGCCATCGTGGTCTGGAGTATAGTTGTGGCCGAGGGCTTATGAGTGTGCCTCTTACTCCCCAGCACAGGTGCAGGAGGAACTCTGGAAGCCCTGCTCTCTGTCAGTGATACAGCTTCCAAGGTGTTCTTGAGTAGCAGACATTGTCCCTCAGGAGGGGTGACCCCACGGGCATGCACACCTTGTTCCAGCGGGGGCCTTTCTTGTAGATGGGCTTGACGGAGCCAGGAGCCCAGCGCGTCAGGTACCTGTGGAGGGAGAACAAAGAGGTGCCTGTGAGGGCTGGGGCCCAAGCTGGAATTGGGAATGTGGAGCACTGCCTCCTCAGGCCAGGCCACGATTGGGCAAGCAAATCCTTTCACCAGTTTCCCTTTCCTGAAGTGCAGGGATTTTCCTGGGAGTAACTGCTGAGCGTCCTCTAAACAGATGGGCTGGGCTCTTGCTGCTGCAAGCCTGTGTGGCCAGGGTCAGGCAGCCCAGGGCCACAAGCTCCCTTGATCTTTTTTTTTTTTTTTTTTTGAGACAGAGCCTTGCTCTGTCACCAGGCTGGAGTGCAGTGGCGTGATCTTGGCTCACTGCAACCTCCACTTCCTGGGTTCAAGCCATTCTCCTGCCTCAGTCTCCTGGGTAGCTGGAATTACAGGTGCCCACCACCACACCCAGCTAATTTTGTATTTTTAGTAGAGATGGGGTTTTGCCATGTTGGCCAGGATGCTCTCGATCTCCTGACCTCGTGATCAGCCTGCCTCGGCCTCCCAACGTGCTGGGATTACAGGCGTGAGCTACCGCGCCCGGCCCCCTTGATCTTTATAACTGTCAATGCTGGTGTGTGTTTGCTGAGGAAAAGGCGTAAAAGAGGCTGCCCGAAGAGCAGATCATTCCTCTCTGGCCTCAACCATGGGGTGAGAAGAGCTGATGTAAGGGCCTGGAGGAACCCACTACCCTTCTCCATTTGGCTCACTCAGCTACCCCAGCCTTCAGGGAACTCCCCAGGGTACCATAACCGGTGTAAGACCCCTGCCCCTCACCCAACCTGTGATGAGAATCAAGGGGTAAGGGCCCGTGGGCGTGGCTCTAGTCTAGGAAGGTTCCTGTAAGTAGGAGGGGGGTGGGGAAAGATGGCTGCAGCCCATGGACCTTTGGCCTCCTTTGGGGATGATCAGGGCCCTGATAGTTCCCAGAAAAGTGGCTCATGCCGGCTGGGATTGGGTTTTACTCTGTCCAGAATAAAACTTGGATCCTGTCCAGAAAGGCCCATCCTTCATTCTGAAAGCTCAGCCATGACAAACGCCAGGAATCCTCCCCTGCCTCCATTCTAGGTTGGGGCTCAACCCAGCTGTCTCTAGAGACCGTCAAAGAAAAAGTTTTTTTATTAAAAAAATCAATAACCTTAGCTAAAAACTCTTAGATAAAAGAAGTGAAAAAATGATTGCTGATTTATGCAGTTCAACTGAGCTCTGCTGGACCTTGCCAGCCCTGTGTTGAGGGGAAGCTGCGGGAGGTGCTGACCTGCACTCCAAGTGTGTGCTGGGCAGGGAGGGGAGGGCCTTCCGTGTATCTCCCGGAACTGTCACTGCCCTGGCCAGGGTGATGACTGTGAAGGAGGCTAGCTACAGGGACTGCTTTTTTTTTTCCTTGAGACAAAGTCTCGCTCTGTCGCCCAAGCTGGAGTGCAGCGGCGTGATCTCAGCTCACTGCAACTTCCGCCTCCTGGGTTTAAGCGATTCCCCTGCCTCAGCCTCCGGAGTAGCTTGGATTACAGGCGCCCGCCACAACGGCTGGCTAATTTTTGTATTTTTAGTAGAGACGTGGTTTCACCCTGTTGGCCAGGCTGGTCTTGAACTCCTGACCTCAAGTGATGCACCCGCCTTGGCCTCCCAAAGTGCTGGGATTACAGGTGTGAGGAGACTGCTTTTTCTATGGTCGGTGGTGCTGGGTGATGGAAGAGTAAGGTAAAGGGAGGGGACCAGGGATGGCCCCTTTGCTGGCCTCTCCCAGGCTTCAGAGGGGTACATGAAGAGATGGGGTATGGGAGCAGGCTCCCCAAAAGGGGTGCTCATTGAGATTTAGGGATGCAGAGGATAAGCTGAAAAGGCTCTCCAGAGCTACTATCCTAAAGCTGTTCTTTCTCCCGTGCCTTGGAGAGGCAAGCTGGGCTTTAGCTGGCCTTGGGTCTGATGCCTGTGCCACATGGAGCAGCCAGCCGGCAGGAGGTGGGCTGGGTGGCCTCCAGCTAGCTCTTTGGGAACACCCCAACTCTAGCAAGAACCAAGTCTCTTTCCTAAACCAGCCCCTTCCTACCTCTCCTGAAGGGGCAGCAGGAGGAGGGACAAAGTCTGGCTCCACCAGGCCCCAGCAGAGCCTGGGCCCATGCATGGCAGCATTAAATGAGACTCCCCTGCAAGGGAATCCATTTCCTTCGTAGCCTGAACTCCCCCTCCCGCTCAGGGTGGCCTTTTGCAACCAACAAGCCCCCACACATCATCAATCCTGTGTCACGTTAAAGGATGCCGGATGTATGGGAGGGTGCCTGGCCTAGCTTCAAAGGCCTGAGGCAGGATGGATTGTGTCCTCAGGCCTGCTGCTGTCTCTTAAAAAGCCAGAGGGGGTGGGCTCAACCCCCAAATGGTCCATAGCACAGTTAGGAGACATAGGAAGAGGTTAGCATGTCCTGCTCTCCAAGAGCTGCTGGCAGATGGCTGAGCTAGCAATGTGGGGGGTGCAGGTAGAGATGGGCACACAGCCAGGGTGCTGGCATGGTGTTGGTAAAGGTCCAGCTCTGACTTAGCCTCCAGGGACAGAGAAGCAGGGTACCAGGAAGAAGCCCTGCATTCCCACATCCCACAACCCCTGCAGCCCCTTACCCTCCATGCCTGCGTTCTGGTGGGGATCAGCCTAGGAGATTTGCTGGGGGCTGAGGCGTTTGCTTTGTGTCAGTCATCTTTGATACCTTACAGAGAGCAATTCCATTAAAAAAAGGACAAACACTGCAATTACTTTTGCACCCACCTAATATGTTCCTCACTCCAGTCTGGGAACCACCAGCTGGACAGGAGGAAGGGGCCATTCCCAGGGGAGAAGAACCCCCTCAAATCAATTCTACAGACCTGGCTCTACTCTCAACAAGGGGATACTAGAGATCTAAGACTATGTAAGTGTGCTGATGCCAGAGAGGAGGGAAGAAGGGAACTTGCAATGGGACAGCTGCTTGAATGTCAGACAAGAATCTGCCCCCACTCTACAGAGTCCTGCTTAGACTAAAAGGCAGACAGAGTGATTCCAGGGGCTGGGGGCCATCCTCTCCTTCTCTATATGAACTCAGGGCCTCCTAGGCTGCCACATGGCGCTGTGTAGGTTGTTAACTGTACAACTCTGGGGAGCACTATTTGTGACCTAGTCCACATGGATATTACCCTGAAGTTGTCCAGTGTGCGACCTGCACAGCTTTATTCAGTGGCACTAACCCAGAAGGCGCTCCCATTTCTAAGGCCTTCTGTCCTCTAATAACCCCAGCACTGGAGAGAGCTGGGATACTGAAAGTTTGTAGTAGTACTAACATCCCCATAGCAACCCAGTGTGATGTCATAAATGGGGGATTAGCACATTCTAATGCCCAATCAGCAGGCCTTTACCCTCCTTGCCCCTTTGCTAAGGGCGCTACAGGGGAGGAAAGAGGCTGAGGCAAAAGAAGAAGCAGAGGAAAGAGGCTGAGGCAAAGAAGGCAACAGAAGAAGCAAAGACTGCAGCAGGGGTGGACTGATGGGGGTGGATGCTCAAACTGGCAGGGAATGGAACAGACAGCCAAGGTGCATAGCTTTCCTGAGCTGTGGGATGATTTCCGGCAAGTAGCTTCCCCAGTAGAAGCCAGTGAGGGCTAAGGGCCTGCAGAACGCTCAGGTTGTTCACACCCAGGCTTGCTTACCGGTTGAGTTGAGGTTTGCTTTTCGGAACAACTCCTTCAGGAAGCCGAGGCCTGTGATTTGGTAATAGACCTGAGTGGGGGGAAGATGGGATAGTCTTTGCAGCTCCCTCTGCAGCTCTGAGGGGGCCAGAGGGAAAGCCCAAGGGAGTGGGGAGGTTGGCATTGGATGGGGAGTATAATTAACACTCTGGATATCCTCTTTTCTTCCAGGAGGGGCTGAAACATGGGGCAGCCGGGTAGGGAGAGAGCGCCTGCGGCCCTCTGCCCCTCTTGGTCCCCAGGACCTTCTACCTGCTCGGTGGGCCATCTTCACACACTCCTCAATCTTGCGGTGTTCTTCCTGGCATAGGCCTGTGATCTTTCGTGGCAGCATGCCTCCATGAGGCCGGATGAACTGGCTAAGCAGCAGAACATCCTAGTGGAAACCGAAAATAGGGGATGAGGGTCAGCTGGGCTTGCTTTTGATGCTGGGAAGCTAGGGCTTCATGGTCTATAGGGAAGGCTGATGTCTCCTGGGAACCTGGCTGAGATCACTTCCTCCACACAGAGCTTTGCACACTGGTCTGCTACCTTCACGCAACAAAAGTTAATCCCAACTTAGTAAGATTTTCTGTACCCCATTACCAACCCCAAAAGCTCCCAGCTTCTCTATGAGTTTTTTTTTTTTTAGGCAAGGGCTCACTCTGTTGCCCAGGCTGGAGTACAGTGGTGTAATCTTGGGTCACTGCAATCTCTGCCTCCCAATCTCTTGCTCGAGTGGTCCTCCCACCTCAGCCTCCTGAGGAGCTGGGACTACAGGTGCGTGCCACCACGCCTGGCTAATTTTTGTAGAGATGGGGTCAAACAATCTGCCCGCCTCGGCCTCCCAGAGTTCTGGGATTGCACCCCTACACCTAGCCTCGTGAGATCTTCTGATAGACTAGGTTAGAGAACAGAAACTTTTCAAGAAGTGTCACCAATCTTTTATGAACCTGAAGCATCTTTCTTGGATAAAATGTCTGCTCAGGTGGGGTTAGGAGGCTGCCATATGTTTCCACACAAGAGGAAAACTTGTAACATTTTAGACCTTAAGGTCTATATACCACAAGCCAGAGTATATGCAAACAGCCCCTCCACCTCTTGCCGTTCCCTCTGAAGTGCTAGGAAGGCATAAAAGCCAAGGAGGATGGAACCAGGGTTGTGAAGTTTAATCTCACATGATCTAGGCCCCCTGTAACTAGATCTGAATGGATTCTTGGGCTTCCTTCAGACCATCACGTGCTCACCAGGCTGCTTGGATCTGTCAAAGGAACAGATACACAGAGCCAGAATCAAGAAAAGGGACCACCTCCCTGTCAGGTCTAAAAGGTTACGATTCCCAGACTGCTTGAGCTCAGGAGTTCGAGACCAGCCTGAGCAACATAGCAAGACCCCATTCTCATAGAATGGCTTAAGGGGTTAAAGAACTCACCATTCCCCTCCCTGCAAGTGCCTGGCATGCCAATCTTAGCAGTCAAGTTCCACAAACCAACTTGCTGCCCTGGCAGGCGCCTTGCTGCATAACTGCAGATTTGTTTTAATCACTGGACAGTTCCTGAGGGACCTAGGCCTTCAATTCCCACCCCTGTACTTTTCAGAATCTGATGAAAAGAATTTGGATTGGATTAATCCAGGGCTAATCAACTGGGCTGGAGGCCCCAGCCCTCCACCGTAGGCTGCCAAGCAAGCTAACAGCTTTGTGCAGCTCAGGCTAATGGTGCTCTGAGTGGAAAGGGGTAAAAGGAAAAACAACTTTAGCCTTTACCTCAGACGGGATTAGATTTCTTCTGCTGGAGACAGCCAAGTATGTTTCCTGGAAAAAGCTGGTAGGAAGAGTGCCCTACGGTGGCTGGGCGGGTGTGGGGTTTGCTTTCCTATCAGCAGCTGAGGTTCCAAGGATGCCCACAACCCCACTAACTTCCGCATGGTGAGCAGCTGGAAACATTGCCCCTTGCCTGTGTGCTTGCTTTCTGTTACTCCAGGCGGCCATCAGGAGAAGGGCCCCAGGACAGAAAGAACCCCCCCATCCCTCAGGGTGGCCTCAAGCCAAGGCTTCCAGCCCACAAGATTAGTTGGGTCACTCTGTTCAGATCCCACTGGCATGTGGCTTCTCCTGCTCTTATCACCTGACCAGGATCTCTGCCTTTAGTCATCCTATTCCACAAAGGGGCATAGGGACAACTTACAGGTCAAACTGGCCCAGAGCCTGAATCACCTGAAACCCAAAAATAGGGTGCTTCATGTTACCAGTGAGAGCTCTGAAGAACAAGTAAGGATTTCTCCAGGGCTGTGTCCTTAGTCCCACGCCCTCCCCATCTCTGGGGAGGAGGTAGTGTAGTCATTAGGAGCACAGGCTCTGCCTGGGCTTTCGTCCCTGGAGTTTGTATCCCAGTTCTGATACCAGCTGGGGGATCTGAGGCAAGTTCACTGGCTTCTCCATGCCTCAAATTTCCTCATCTGTAAAATGAGGATGAAACTAGTACCTACTTCATAGGGTTATTGTGAAAACTAAGTGAACTAAAACAGGTAAGTACTCAGTGCCTGACACAGTATGCACTCAATGTTACCTGTTGTTATTATTCACTACTTTCTTCTTTCCCTGGAAACGACTGCACTAGAAGAGCTTGAGCAATCAGGTATCTTTATAGCTCCAATACAGAACGACAGGGTAATGTGTTCCCAGATCACAGTGAGAACCAAGTCTGTTCAAATACACCTTCATCATAAAAGAGGAGAGCCAAACCCAGACCATGATTCTATCCCACAAGAGGACAACCCCTGTGAACTGAGTTAAGGGCCCTAGTGGTCTGAGGCACAACCAGACCACAAACTCAATCAGTGGCTCTCAACCCTGGCTGCTCATTAGAGCCACGGGAGAGCACTGAAAAAATGCTCAGGCCCCACCCCCCGAGGCTGATTCTGCACCGTGACCTCAGTCTCCCAGGCTACTGAAGATGGTGATGGGTCTTCTTCAGAGGGAGAGCTGCAGTGAATGAGACTACATCTACGAAGTGGCTTGGGAGGACCTGGTAGAGCCCATGCATCACTATTTTTTAAAGCTCCCCAGGTGATTCTAATGCGCAGCCAGGGTCGAGAACAACTGGACAAAATGCTCCCATCTCTGGGGGTTCCATGAAATGCAGCAGTAGCTAAAGCGGGGGGACACTGCTCTAGTTAACCAGGGAATCTGAGAGCTTCACAACACACAGAACTGAGTGTCTCTGTACCCAGACTCACGTCATAGTTATACTTGTGCTTCAGGTTCCAACGGCAGATGGGGCACTGGCCAGAGGGGTTAGGAGGATTTGGACTGCCCTTGGGAGTCGCTGTGAGACGGCCTTCAATCTAGGAGACAGAGAAGGAGAGCCAGTGTGAGAGACAGGGCCTGCGTGGAGCCACATTATCTTTGCACAAACCCCAAAATGATGGGAATGCTGGTGAAAGTTTACCTTGGGGGTTCTTGTGGGAGTAGCTAAGAGGTTTCTCTGCCTGAACTGTGGTGTTTACTCTGTAGTTGCTGTATGCTAGGCCTTGAGATAGCTACAGGGATGTGGTTTGGTGGCTTACAGGGGTAATGGAAACCATCTGAACTTAATACCAGTGGCAAGAGGGAGGGAGGGATTTGCTGTATCAATTGAATGCTACCTTTCCTTCCTCAAAAGAAAAAACAAAGGCACCAGAACACTATACTTTTTTCCCTCCCTGGCTTTTGGGGGAAAGTAATACATGCACATGGTAAAAAGTTTCAAGTGGCACAGGGATATAGAGTCCAAAGAAAGCATCCCTTCCATCCCACATGTCCTCCTAGGGGGAAACTGCAGTTCCCAGCTTTATCTTACAGAGCTAAGGCTATGCCAGTGGGTCTCAACCAGAGGTGATTTTGCTTCCCAGGGGACATCTGGCAATGTCTGGAGACATTTTTGATTGTCACGTCTGGGGGAGGGAGTGCTACTGGCATCTAGCAGGGATGTTCTAACCATCCTCCACTGCAGAGGACAGCCCTCACAACCAGGAATTACTCAGCCCCAAATGCCAGGAATAGCAAGGCTGAAAAAACCCGGGTTGTGCCATATAAGCAGATATGCATGCACTCCTTCTCTCTTACAAAAGAAAGGAAAAACTAACACGATACAGATGGGAGGATACATTTCCCTGTCATGCTCCTTGCTTTGATCATTTTGGATGCCACCTTTAAACCATGCTGAGGCCAAGTATGAAATGACCTCCCTATCGCTGCTGTATCCTGTGATACAGTTTTGGAATTACTAAGCGCAATAAACCAACGATCTGGGAATTAGCTCCAGTTGCAAGAGGGGAGTTTAGAGAGTCTTGCTGACTGAGGCCATGGGTTATGAGAGTGAGGCTGGGATGGGTCTGAGAGGCTTTGGGAGGGAAGCAACACTGTCTCTTGGGGGAGAAGTGGCACAGGGGAAAGGGGCTGGAAGTACTACTTGGCCGTTCAGGGCACAGCTACCCTCCTTCTGCCACGGCAATCACAACTATGCCAGAAACTGAGATGTTAGAGAAAATTCCCAAGTACATGGTAGGCCTTGGGAGGCGGGTTGCAGTGGGTCAGGGGTTCGGGGGTGGGGAGAATTAACATTTATTGACTCCCCATTATATGTGTAGCTCAGTGCTAAGAATGGTTCACATATATTAGTTCACTTAACCTCCAGAATCTAGTGAGGTAGGTGTCTGATCTTATTTCATAGGGGAGAGAATAATACCCAGTCAGCAATGGCCATGCTGCTAAAGGCATGGATGGGCTCTTCCCTCCCCTGAGGGCTCTCATAGGCCACAATGCCTCCACATCTATTCTACAAACAGCAGACTCATGACCCACATGAAAAACGCTCTTTATACTCAAAAGTCAGATGTATTTCTTTCCTCCAGTGTGGAGTTTATAGAGTGAATGCTTGTTTTGGCTTTGAATCAAGAAGCCTAAAAGGTACCCTAAGGGGACTGGGGCGGTCCCCTAAAAAGAACTGTTTTGAGGCTAAGTAGTGGAAAGGCAGAGGGAGCATTCTAGGGGGAAACCTAATGGACTTGTCCTGGGAATAAGACTGCCTTGGGAAGGACTGAGCTTGGCTGGCTACCTAAAGGGTTAAATCTCTGGTTGACATGGAAGTTACAGAGGCCTCTGGGAGCTCTGTGGAGTCGCTGAGGATTTCTTGGAGGCATAGAAGGCCATGTGAAAACAACGTTGTTGTCTTTTAAGGATTATAGGATAATCTAGGCCCCATGACTCCCCAAGGAAGGGAGGTGGGATGGGCCCAGGGAACGAAAGGGGGGAGTGCGTAGATGAAGAATTGTTCCAACTTTCTTACCAACAGACAAGCCAGGGCGCCAGCTAGTAAGGCCAGGGCCGGGAGAATGTCACTTTTTAAATGCATCATTTAAGGAGTAGTTTAGTCATTCTAGGCAGAAAAGAAAGGAACTGAGGTCCAGGCTCTTGGCTCTGGGTCAACTTACTTTGGCTCTCTAGGCGTGCAATAATGCCTTAGTTTCCCCGTCGGAAAACTGATTTATCACCCGCCAAAGAGCTTATCAGCAAAGGCCTCTGAGACCTTGCTATACAAAAGGCCACTTTAATCAAAGAGCAGATACCTCAGCCCAGGCATAGCAACTGTTCCTGATTAACCACACTATAGCGGACAGCTTGAAAAATAGTAGACTGTGGGATTTACGGTCACTGAGGGAGCTGATCCTGGAGCTGGGCGTCCAGTTTGGGCCCCTCCCTCCCTCAGAGGAGCGGCCAGGCAGCTGCAAGTGTTAAAGAGGTTATACATGGCCAACTCAATGATACTTACTATAGTTGTCTTCCCTTCTTGGATCTCCACCACTACAGAGATAAAGGGGGAAAAATTAGGTCAGCCATTTAATAAGGAACAGAGAGTTTCAAATAACAGCTCAAATTCTACACATTTGGAAAAAAGCAGCCTTCCGTCTGTACTCTCTCATGGTCTCCACCTGGAACAGAAAGCACGCAGGGTTCACCCCACTAGTGCCAAGGCTCTATGCCCTTGAGGCGGGGTGGGGGCAAGCCCAGGATGCCCAGGTAGCATCACCTCTCTGGTATGGGATTAAGGAGTTCCACAGTTTTTGCCTTTCTATGCAAAGATTTATCTTGGTTCTATCCAAAGGAATTGGTCAGATCCTGTCCTACAGTGGCTAGCAATAAAAGAGGGTGCGGTAGTGGTATGTAAAAGACCTTCAAAAGTACCCAAGCGGTGTGTGTTCCTGCACAAAGAGAATCAGATAAGAATGGTTTCTGCTTTGAAGAATTAACAATGTAAGATACAGCACTGAACTAACACTATTCCAGTGGCACCCAGTGAATAAGCAAAAATACAAGTTCACTCCTAGAACACATCCTGAGGGTCGTGAGTGAAATCCTCTCCTCCCTGCAGGGTTGCATTTTATCATCTATACTAGAAAGGGTTGATGGACAGGTAGGAATAACGACCATGAAGATACTAGGTCCAAGAAGAATTTCAAGTATTGCCATTCCAAACGGAGAGGGATGCCCTCCGTGCTTTGCCTATTTAGGAGAGGCAGTCAGAAGAGAACCTGAAGGCAAGACAACCAGTTGCACACATCTGTCAGGCTAAATACATTTCCTATCTTACTACCTTACCTAACCAAGATGCAGAATGACAACTTCAACCATCATTCAAAGAAGAACCAAGCCAATAGCCCACATTTCGGCTAATATAATCAGATAGTTCTTGGAGATACTCCCTTGCTGACAGTTTCTTTAGAAAGACAGAAGCCAGACTGGGTACAGTGGCTCATGCCTGTAATCCCAGCACTTTGGGAGGCTGAGGTGGGAAGAAATACTTGAGCTCAGGAGTTAAGAGACCAGCCTGCGCAACGTGGCAAAATCCTACAAAAATTACTAAAATTAGCCAGGCATGGTGGCATGCACTTGTAATCCCAGCTACTTGGGAAGGTGATGTGGGAAGACTGCTTCAGCCCAGGAGGTTGAGGCTGCAGTGAGCCATGATCATGCCACTGCATTCCGGCCTGAGGGACAGAGCGAGACCCCATCTCGAACAAACAAACACACACCAATAAAAAGAGAAGGGACCATCTAAGGAAAAAGGCAGTTGTAACCCAACCAGAGGCCCATGGCAGCATCTGTGATCACTGAGCTCTGTGACCAACACCTAATTGGACACAGACTGCTTGGAATTGTCCCTTATTTGTCTTCTGGGCAACCCATTCATACTCACTGCTCCAAAACAACCAACCTGACAGCCTCTCAGTGTCCAACGCCAGACATACAAAGGAATAACAATGACTAGAAAAGCCCTGAGGCTTTCTCTAGAGAACACTGTAGTTATTAATCAATTCAAAGACAACCTAGGTTTTTCAATGTAAAAGAAAATGCGTCACCCCACACACAGATCTACTTGTACGGAACACAGACCAACCCAAGAATGGGATTTGGGTGAGACTCAACGTGGTCCTCAGTCTGGAAGCCAGCACAGCTGCAGAGGGAAGGTCACTGCAATACGTCAGTCTGCAGAATCAACCTACAAATGGAGGATGGGGAGAAATGAAGGGAGGTAGGAGGACGGCACATCCCCAGTCCAGTAAGGGTTCCCAGCACCCTGCAACTCTGCAAATTTGCAAAAACCAAGTTGAGAGACAACCTAATCTGAGCAACAAGTAGGGGGGAAAGTTTCCAAGAATCCCCAAAGGAAACAAAAGGAGAGACACGTTCTGGTACCACTGGAGTCAGCAGAAGAACAATGCCCTGAAACACAAGTGGATAAACATGTGGTTCCCTGCTTGGTGGAGGCACTTGGGTCCTAACCATGAGGTAAACAAGTCTAACAAAACACACATCACTCCCGGCAAAGTACCAAACCCTGAAGTCATCCCACTGGCCCCTGGAAAACAGATCAAAGCCCATGGCAAGCTCCACTGTTCACAAGCTCCCCCCTCCACACAGCAACCCTGAGCCAGCGAATCATCTTACTAGAAGCCAGTGGGTAAAATAATAGGCAGATGCTTATCTAACAGAGACAATTTGTCAAACCAGAAGGAATGACCTGAGAACTCACGTTGAACTGACATCGATCAGGGTGGTGTCTTAGTGCAGGGGGAGAAGGCCCTGTTGGAGCCTAGGGAGGCCCTTAGTAGATTTTAAGCCTCTGGAAAGAGGAGATAGGAATCAAAATAGTATTGATTTACAGCGTGCATACAAAAATGTGTCAAAACCAAACAAAACCTGAGATCCATTTTGTTCCTGGCTGCCTCCCTATTCAAGAGAAGTGGGGGTGGCTAAGAAAAGCTGGACTGAGAGATTTAGGCACTAACAGAAAACTTGTTTAGAAAAAGATGGAATCACCCTTGTGTTCTGAGATATGGCAGTATCTAGTAAGCTAAGCGAAGAGATGAAGCAGTTTTCTAAACTAGAACTAAGGGCCAAAATCTTTCCAGATAAGCACTTCTCATACACATGAAATAATCTGTCCCAAATGAGGCAACACATTTGCTGGGCACTTGTGGACTGTACAGCTTCGTTCTACCTACTGTGGAGAGTTACAGTAGAATAAGGGCCGCAGTCTTTGCCCTAGAGGAGGAAAAGAACTAAACTCTGTATGGGAACTTGACTGTAATAAAGTCCATGCCTCGTAAAAAGGTCCTTTGAGTACTTCAGTAAATACTTGCCTAGGATGGAGTCCAAGATAACTGAATTATAATAGTCTGGAACAAATGGCATTGTGGTGAGATTGCAGTGAATGCAAAAGGAGGTGAGGGGGTGACACCTATAGTCTCAGCTACTCAGGAGGATCACCCGAGCTAAGGAGTTAAGAGGCCAGCCTGGGCAACACAGCAAGACTCTGTCTCTTAAACAACAAAAAACATGGAAAATGCAAAAAACCTTGATGGCCACATGAACAGACATAGTGAACTGCAACCATGTAAAGACCCAACTGCTTAGTAAAACAGGAAGTGAAAAAGGATGAGGAGTGCAGGGCACTGCTGAAGTGCCCAGAGACCAAGGTCCCTCTTGGAGAGGATCTGTGGAAACCAGGGCCCAAGCAGAGTAGGAAAGACTGGAGTAACTGATGGCTGGGCAGTGGCCCTAATAGTCTTATGTAGGGTCAGGGAGAGGAGTACCATGTTTGGGATGTGTGCTTGCATTTCTGGCCACTGACCACCTTTCGCAAACACCTTCCTGCCTCAAGCCCTGCTTCCTCCAGTTCATCTTTAATTCTACCATTGAAGTTTCTGGTTCCCTCATCACCTCCCTTTCTTTCCCTTGGACCCCTGAAGGAACGTCCCTCTGACCTATGCTTCAGAATGAGGAGTTAGCAGGTTACTCTGGACTATGTCCCCTGAATTCTTTAAAGACGTCAACTCACTCCTCTCTCAAAGCTTTTATATGGGACTGCCCAACCTACCAGGCATATCCTTGTCTGAAATGTTAGGTCTTCCAGAAGGCCTTCTTAACTGACTGAAAGGGATGAAGCAAATTCCCTTTGGCCTTCGCTCAATTCAATATACCCTTCTCTAAGTGGCTGACAGATCATGACTTAATTTATATAATTTTTTTTTTTAATACATTTCCTTCACAAGGACTCTGAGAGGGATAAGGGAGGAATGAGATCCAACATAGTCTTTGCTAAATCTGGCAGTGCCAACCATAAAGGCACTAAACGGTCTTTGGCAAGTTAACTGCTGAGAGCTTTCAGGGAAGGAGGGAACAAGGAAGGCCCTGCCATGGAATACCAAGGTGATGTTACTGGTGGAGAGGGAAGAGGGCTGGCTCTACTTCCAATTCCATCACTTATTGGATGCTGGGCAAGCTATTAAACCCCTTGGGACTGCATTTCCTCATTTATAAAAATGAGGACAGTTAATATCCACCTTTAAGGTGTTTTTGAGAAGACTGAATAAATGTATGTGGAAAACCTTGCACAGTATTTGAAGCAGGCACAGAAAGTCACAATTTCTATTTTTGTCCTCCTTCAGTCTTGCTTTTTCCATAATAATCTTTTTTTGGTTTTGTGTATCTCTCTGGTCAAACTTTAAACCAGGCTTTCTCAACAGCAGCAGGACTGCCATTTTGGGCCAGAAGGTTCTTTGTTGTGGGGAACTGACTTGTGGATTATGTTTAGCAGCATCCCTCACCTCTACCCCCCAGATGCCAGTAGTACCAGTTGTGACAACCAAAAACGTCTGCAGACATGGCCAATTGTTCCTGGGGGACAAAATTGCCCCCCCAGTTGAAAATCACTGCTTTAGACTGAAAGTTTTCATAGACAGGAAAATTGGTGCTCAGTCCTCATAAGCTGACTAAAATCATGTATTATTATCTGATACTTCGAAAAGATGCTTGAATATTTTCAGCAAGAGACCCAGCTTCTTTCCCACAACTTTAAATTCTATGTGTACAATATTGTTTGAGTGTCACATATACCAGCTGAGACTAGTCAAAATTAGCTATATGTACAATACTTTATGCCTTACAAATAATGGATAGAATAGCAAAATAAAATGTTTTCATTTAAAAGCTTTGAAGACAGGTGAGTCTTAAGAATATAGAATATGGCAATGCCTTCATGTAGAATCACATTAATTCAACCTAACATTTAGATGAAGGACTTCAGAGACCCATTTGATTTACAGTCCATCCATTTTTCGTGTTTTTAAAGAGGTAGGGGTTCTCACTATGTCACCCAGGTTAGACTCCAATTTCTGAGCCCAAGTGATCCTCCCACCTTGGCCTCCCAAAATGCTGGGATTAAAGATATGTACCACTGTACCTGGGTTACAGTCCATCATTTCACAAAGTCTCCAACTGAAAAAATTCTTTAAGTCTAATTTCAAATATTTGTTATTAAAACAAAACGATTCCTCTTGCCTTTTTTTCTGGATAGCAAAATCTACCTCAACTCTGAATTTCAAAAGAATATGCAAATTGTAGCCAATAGTGTTTGACACTTGGTAGACTCCCCCAAAATGGTATGGAGATATGCCTATTTTGCAGCATGGGAACAGATGAGACATCCAAATTCTTTCTATCATCTGCATGATTTCTTTAGTGTCTTTATTAATGGGTCTACTAATGGATAAATTAACCAGGCAGTATCCAGACTTTTTTTTCTAGCGAATACTCCCCTTACGGGCTGAATTCTTCAAACATACCTGCTATTTCCATTTCTTCATCAACTATCTCCTTTAATTCTCCAAACTGGATTCCTTGTTTGCCACTCTATTGAAATTGCTATTTGAAAGCTACAAACAGACCTCTTCTGAGACAAATCCAATGGCCCCTTCATTAGGCTCTTCTTTTTAGACTTTTCTGCTCCCTCTGACAACAATGATCACTCTTTGGCACTGGATACTTCTCAGCTTTCGTTAAAGGATATGCTGCCCAATACTATGCCAGATCCTCAAAAAACCCCACATCTCTTCTTTTGCACATCACTCATCCTTTCCTGCTTCCAGGAGTACACAAAGGAGGGCTATGTCCTAAAAGACCGTTTCACTCTCCGCCAGATTCCATCCTTTTGTGAGCCTGCTCAAGACACATCCTCTTTATGAAAACTTTCAACTGGGTTTGCTGTTTCCAGTAACTGAGTCTCCCTGTACTTCATCACGTAAAAGGCTAACTTGCATTTATTGGAGTGTGCATATACATAATCTCATTAGAACCTAAGCTTTTCAGAAAAAGGGCTGTATTTTCTGTCTCCAGAATTCCTTCACAGCTTGAAGCATAGCACTTGGCATTCAGTAAGCTCTCAGTTGATGCTGACTCAGGCCGCTTTCCCAGATTAAGATTAATGAAAAGCTGAACTACCATTCTGCATTTGCCTATGTCTCAGCTATTCAACGGCCTTTCCACTTTGGCCTCCCCTTCACAGGGAGACTAGCGGCCCGGGCAGAGAAAGCCGCCATCAGATCACAGCATTTTGAGAAGAGAAAGTGGAAAGGGAGGCTCGGGGGGGGAGGGGAGGGTACCCAGATGGCCTTCCTTCGTGACAGAAACTCTTTAATAAAAGAGACTGCGATTCGGAGAATATAGAAGGGAGAATTAACAAGAAAACCGTTTCCGAAAACTTTTCTGAACCTTGGGACAGGTTTCTTTTCTGCTCCTGCTAAGTAAGCAGGCTTTCTCTTCGTCCTCCTCGGTCTCGTGAGGATACTCACAAGGGGCAGGAGCTCAAGATAAGGCACCAGGGTCTGGAAGGGGCTTTTAAGCACGCCTGGGGAGCCGGTACCTCCTAAGTTTCAGAATCGCACGAAGGAAAGGGAGGAAGGGGCGCACCGGGGCTGGCGGAAGCAATCTCCGCCGCTCTTCTTAACTTCAGGAGGTTGCTGGTACGCATGACTCACCTTCCCTGAACCCGCGAGCTGGAAGTCGAGACCAGCTGGTCGCTGCCGGGCCCGCTAGGAGCCCACGGAGAAGCCCCCCACAGGCGGACACCAAACCCTTGAAGGCCACCATCTTGAGAAACCTACCCTGAGCTCTTGTCCATTTCCGCTTCCGGAACGTGGCGCGCGCCGCCGCAGTGGTGGGGCAGGAACGGCGGGGGCGGGGTTGTAGTTCGCTTCCTCCTGTCACGAAACTTCTCTCACCTGTCTGCTTTGGGGTAAGAAGAGAGGCTTCTGCGTCAAGCCTACATTTCGTGTTAAGGATCTAGGGGAGGTCTTCTAGCTCCTGTCTGCCAATGCCTGCAAGTCTTCAAGGTTGCATTCGTTTCCTGGAAGCCTTCCTTAGGAAAATCGCACGCAACACCCCTACCTAAGTCTTTAAAGTTTTCTCTTCACTGCGCGTGAGCTGTGGTCTTTCAGCTTTTGTGACTGGGCTAGACCTCTACAGGAGAGGTTGAAATGGTTAGGAACTCTGGCTCTGGAGTATAGGATATCAGGCAGACCATGGATAGAATTGATACCACCTTCTTCCCTGACCACTGCCACACTGATCTTTGATTTACATGTACTTTGACCTCTCTCTAGCCCCAGGGCCTTGGCACAAGCTGTTTCCTTTGTCTACTCTTTAGTTGTCTAGTTAGCTTCTACTTATTTCTTAGAGCTTGCCTCAAACCTTATTTCCTTATTTGCTTGACTGCCCATTCTCAGCACCAGATGCCTCTCCATCTTAGTACTTGGGACAATTTCAGTTTTATGTTTGTTTTGTATGTGTCTTCTCACCAGACTGTAAGCTCCATGAAGTCAGGAACATTGTTTTCTGTTGACTCTCACATCTCCAGCACTTAGTATAGTCCTGACACATAATAAGAGTACAATATATACTTGTTGAATGAATGAGTAGAATCTATTTTATAGGGCCTAGGGGAGGACTAGACCCTGAAAATTAGATGTGATAAAACATAAGTGATCGACTGGGTGTGGTGGCTCTTGCCTGTAATCCTAGCCCTTTGGGAGGCTGAGGTGGGTGGATTACCTGAGGTCAGGAGTTCAAGACCAGCCTGACCAGCATGGTGAAACCCCATCTCTACTAAAAATACAAAAATTAAGTGGGTGTGGTGGTGGGTACCTGTAATCCCAGACACTTGGGAGGCTGAGGCAGGAGAATCGCTTGAACCCAGGAGGTGGAGGTTGCAGTGAGCCAAGATTGTACCATTGCACTCCAGCCTGGGTGACAAGAGTGAAACTCCGTCTCAAAAACAAAACAAAACAAAACAAAACAAAAGTGCTCAATAAACATAAGCTAGTTAATAGAACAGTTATGGAGATGACTCTTTTCACAAGTTGGACTCACTTGTGTTGTAAGGAAGCTTATGGTACCAAAGAGAAAATACAACTGCCCAGTTTTTCCTCTTTTAGATTTGTGGGACGTATAGGATGTTCCTCTGGAACTCCATAGGAAAGGAAAATCATTCACAACTCAGTTCTTCCACTTGGAAGGATAATTTCCACCTTCCGTAATAAGCCCAAAGAGGGATTTTCTAGTTATCCTTCTCTGATTCATAGATGGGAAAAGTCAGGCTTATTAAATGGCATAGGATGTTTTCTGATGAGTGGGAAAGGAGCCCATCATCCAGTTAGGACCATCACCCTAGTAGGCTAGGAGGATGCAGAGCGGCTGCTGTATGGAAAGTTTGAGTGGCATCATCATAGAGAGGGAGAACAGGAGAAATGCAGCATTGGGGTACATTAAAACATCTCATTTAGCAAAGGTAAACCCCGTGAAGGTGAAACTTAAAAGAAAAGTCAATCAAGGTGGCAGAGACTGACACGTGGATTAGAAGTGAAGCCGAGGGTCTTAGTGGGGTGTAGGTCTAGGTGTCCCAGCCAGGATCAAGAAAGCTTTGACTCTCCCTATATCTTCCAAGTTTGTTCTGTATAGATGACCTTGAGCTTATGGATGTATAGATGACCTCTGTATAGATAACCTTCTGTGTTTGTACTGCATCCCCTGTTTCTTCACCCATTTCCAACTTCCAGGAATCTGGTAGAGACAAAGGCAGCAACAGAGCCTCACCCAGGGCTTGCTTTGGACATAGTGAGCTAAAGCATTTGAATGCCAACCCTCTTCTCATTATCTTATCTTAACTTATCATAACCAAATTTTATTTTAAAAAACAACTATAACAGGTAACATGTGATCATTGTAGAAAAATGAAACAATAAATAAAGTGAAAAGAAAATAAATGTCATCTAAAATCCAGAGATAAGCGTTGTTTACATTTAGCAAGATGAAATAATACTGTGGATATTCTTTGCCTTATAATATCTTATTTTTCTGAGTCCATTTATGATTAGTCCCTACAATTCTGTGAGACCAGGTTTTGATCAGGAGACTAGCTTTAAAAAACAACAACACATCTTTTAATTAAAGTATTACCCATGAAAGAAAAATACACAGGCTGGGTACAGTGGCTCATGCCTGTAATCCCAGCACTTTGGGAGGCCGAGGAGAATGGATCACTTAAGGTTAGGAGTTTGAGACCAGCCTCGCCAACATGGTGAAACCTCATCTCTACTAAAAATACAAAACTTAGCTGGGTGTGGTGGTTGGCTCCTGTAATCCAAGTTACTCAGGAGGCTGAGGCAGGAGAATCACCTGAACCCTGGAGGTGGAGGTTGCAGTGAGCCGAGATCATTCCATTGCACTCCAGGCTGGGCGACAGAGTGAGACTCCATCTCAAAAACAAAACAAAACAAAACAAAACAATACAAAACAAAACAAAAAAACCACAAATCATCGGTGTACTGCTTGATGAATTTTCACAAAGGGAACACACTACCCATACTAGAGTGGAGTGGCATGTTCAAGCAGAACATGACTGGCACCCTAGAACATCCCTTTGTGTCCCCTTCCAGACACTACCCCCCAAGGATAATCATTATCCTGACTTTTAGCATGATACGTTACTTTTCCCTGCATGTGACCTTTATATAATATTCCATTGTGAATATGCCATATTTTTAAAAATTACTTTTTTTTTCTGTTGATAGGATTTAGATACTTTCCACTTGGGACTACTACAAATAGTGCTGTAACATTCTTCTACGTGACTCTTGGTGAACACAAGAACAAACTTCCAGGGGCCGGGCGTGGTGGCTCACGCCTGTAATCCCAGCACTTTGGGAGGCCGAGATGGGCGGATCACGAGGTCAGGAGATTGAAACCATCCTGGCTAGCACGGTGAAACCCCGTCTCTACTAAAAATACAAAAAAATTAGCCTGGCGTGGTGGTGGGCGCCCGTAGTCCCAGCTACTTGGGAGGCTGAGGCAGGAGAATGGCGTGAACCTGGGAGCGGAACTTGCAGTGAGCTGAGCTTGTGCCACTGCACTCCAGCCTGGGCGACAGAGTGAGACTCTGCCTCAAAAAAAAAAAAAAAAAAGGAACAAATTTCTCTGGGGTCTATCTAGCAGTGGAACTGTTAGGTTGCAGGGTATGCCTATGATCAGCTTTAGTAGAAGATATTACCTTGACAGTTTTTACAAAAGCCTTTTTAAATTAAATTAAATTTTTTTTTGAGACAGAGTCTTGCTCTGTCACCCAGGCTGGAGTACAGTGGCATGATCATGGCTCACTGCAGACTGGACTTCTTGGGCACGGGTGATTCTCCCACCTCAGCCTCCTGAGTAGCTGGGACTACAGGCACATGACACTATGCCCGGCTAATTTTCTGTATTTTTTGTAGAGGTGGGGTTTTGCCATGTTGCCCACGCTTGTCTTGAACTCTTGAGCTCAAGAAATCTGCCTGTCCCAGCCTCCCAAAGTGCTGAGATTACAGGCGCAAGTCACCATGTCTGGCCCAAAGGCCAGGCTAGATACTGCCAAACAATTTTCCATAATGATTGTACCAGTTTACTCTGGTATCAACTGTGTGTGACAGTTCTAATTGCTCCACACCTTGTCAATATTTGATTTCTTTTTTTGTCCTTTTAATCTTGCCATTCTGGTTGGCCTGTAGTAGGCTCTCACTGTGTATTTATTTTACATTTCTCCGATGCTTAATGAAGATGAGAAACTTTTCATATGTTTATAGACCATTTGTTTTTATTTATTTATTTATTTATTTATTTATTTATTTATTTATTTATTTTTGAGACAGAGTCTCAGTCTGTCCCCCAGGCTGGAGTGCAATGGTGTGATCTTGGCTCACTGTACCCTCCGCCTCCTGGGTTCAAGTGATTCTCCTGCCTCAGCCTCGGGTGCACCCCACCATGCCCAGCTAATTTTGGTATTTTTAGTAGAGACAGAGTCTCACCATGTTGGCCAGGCTGGTATGGATCTCCTGACCTCAGATTATTCACCTGCCTTGGCCTTCCAAAGTGTTGAGATTACAGGCGTGAGCCACCACACCTGGCCAATAAATTTTAAGCATGCAGTTTATATAGCAATATAGGCCATTTAGACATCCTTTTTGTAAAATGTATGTTTAATATTTTGGCTCATGTTCTATTGGGTTGCCTGTGTTTTGCTTTTCTTTTTTCTATTTATTTATTTATTTATTTATTTATTTATTTATTTATTTAAAGACAGGACTTCCCTGTCACCCAGGCTGTAGTGCAGTGGCACATTCGTGGCTTTCTATAGGCTTGACCTCTCGGGCTCAAGTGATCCTCCAACCTCAGCCTCCTGAGGAGCTGGGACTATAGGCGTACACTATGATACCCAACTATTTGGTTTTTTTGTTTCTTTTTTGAGATGGAGTCTAGCTCTGTCTCCCAGGCTGGAGTGGGGTGGCATGACTCTCGGCTCACCGCAACCTCAGTCTCTTGGGTTCAAGCCAATTCTCCGCCCTTGGCCCCCTGAGTAGCTGGGATGTAGCAGGCTCCCACCCACCACGCTCAGCTAAATTTTTATATTTTTATAGAGATGGGG